TATTTAATTAGTTATTCTTCTGATAACTTAATTAATTCTTGATCAAAACTAATTAAATAATATTATTAATATATTAGAACTTATAATGTATTAATAAACCATATGTGTTATTTCTCTCATTTAGTTTATCCTATTGCATGGTGCCATGCAACCCAAATGGACCATGCCGGGTCGGGTCAAGTATTTACCAGAAATAGTTATGGACTTAGACACCTTATCCAACACATACATGTATCACACATACAAACAAGTATAAACTATCACATAAACCATTCCTTGGGCACCCGCCCGCTATCATTGGACCTTGTCCTAAATAGCATACTAGCATACTGTGCCTAGGGCTAAACCCCGGGTCTTCTACTCATAACTACATGGGCCGACATTGTGGCCTTAGACCCATTCACACAAAGGGAAACTCACCTGTACTTGCTGAACTTGCTGATGATGACCCCTCTAGCTCCTGCCCGACAACTCTCTGTACTCCTGCTCCACTAGCTCCCCGAGCTACCAATATCAATGCGACACTTAGTCTAATTGTCCTATGAAAGTCAACTACGTCAACTCTGGTTAAAGTCAAAGTCCTGGTCAAGGTCAACCCTACTCGCCGAGTCTGCCTACTGACTCGCCGAGTTCACACGTTCAGAGTCCTTCCATTCGTGACTCGACTCGCCGATTCAGTCCCTGACTCGCCGAGTCTACCGATTTCCGAGTCCTAACCTGTCCAACTCACTAAGTCCCCACTCGACTCACTGATCTGAGTCTTAACTCGAAGGGTTTGGGGTTTCGCTACTTGACTCGCCGAGTCCAAGAACAGACACACCGAGTCCAAGGCAATCTTCAACAGACTCGCCGAGTTGTTCTTCCAACTCGCCGAGTTCCTGTCCAACTTCATCCAACTTGTCGAGTCCACCCATGTGACTCGCTGGTTCACTCCAGTTCTTAATCCATTCAGTGGCTTTTCGAGCCATGCAGGGGCTCCAAATCATAGATCCATACTTCTAAAGCTCAATCCTTACGTAAAGTTGCAAAAATTTACGTATAACTAAAGAGATCTAGGCTCAAAACACTCTAGAACTACGTTTTAGGACAAAAGGGCTTCACCAACTACTCAATATCTGATGCTTTACGACATATTGGACCATCCCAACACTAGATCTGAAGTGGCAACCACATATCTAAGCCCCAAACCCGAATTGGGTCTCAAACAACCATAAAACCAACAAATCTCATAACAAAAATAGATCTAGATGCAAAGGAGGGAAAATAGCATCTTATTACCTCCAAGATGAACACAAATTGAAGTAGATCTCAGATCTACACCACTCCTTTAAAGCAACCCTTTTGATCTTCAAGTTCCTTTCAAAGGTTCCCTCCTCCAAAGTTATTTCTCTCAAATGATGGAAGCTCACAAGAAATCTAGGGTTACAGGCTCTCTAGGATGATATGGAGGTTGAGGAAGGGACATAACACCCTTTATATAGGATACAACTCCCGGGATTAGGGTTTTCCTTGTTCAGACCAGACTCGCCGAGTCCCCTTAGCCGACTCGCCGAGTCGGTTGCTTAATCGATCCCCCAGATCCCTCTCTGACTCGTCGAGTTCCTCCCTAGACTCGACGAGTTGACCCTTTGACTTAGGGTTTTCTTTCCTTTCTTGGCCATCCTGATTTTGGGTGTTACAACGTAAAGATCGAAGCTTTACATGACAACTGAGTCGTGAGATGCTAGGACCGGAGGGTCCATCAGAGTTATGGAATCGAAGGGTCCCACTGAGACACATTGACTGGAGGGTCATACTGTGTTATAGCCTCAAGTGGCTAATGAACTGTATATGGTATTTTGGGAAACTCACTAAACTTCGTGTTTACCGTGTTATGTGTTATGTGTTTAAGGTACTTCTTAGGGTCACGGGAAGGCATCGGCTTGATTGTACACACATACGAGATTGAGTTGTAATTGACAAGATCTTGGAGTTTTGATATATAAAGTTTTGATTATGAGATTTGATGATTTGACATTGTGACATTTTGAGATTTTATTACCATGATAAATGTGTTTTTAAATTGAAATATTTTTCTTTGAAAATTTACATCGTTACAATAAGCATTAAAAAATAACTTTTTCTGACAGTGAAAATAGAGATGTGACATTATGAGAACTCATTGTAATGTTAGTAAAAATTAATATATAAGTTGAAATAGTACTTACATACAATTTCGATAAAGAGTATACATATTTATATAAATTAGAAATACTTATATACAACAAAACAAATACTTTTAGTATGAAAAGTACTTTTGATTCAAATTATATAAACGTTTGAACTTACCAACTTTATGCTGATGTTTTTTATATTCACATGTATTCTCAAAGAATTAAAAGTCACACGTGTAAATAGTTTGGGTAACAATAATGGAATGGTAGGCATACATTTTTTTGTTATTGTTTATTATTATACCTGTTTGTTAAGGGATTGTTTGTAACTTAATTTTCAATATTTTAAAACTAGGTATAATATATATGTAGGATTTTTTTCAGTTATGGTAGTCATATTTATGCTATACTTTTGTGTATTGTTTAATGTAATCAATATCTGTGATCCATAATAACATTACACAAACCGACATTTCCGCCGAGTTGCACATCTACATTTCCATTGGAAATATCAACTTAATTTCCGTTGCATTAACCAGGAAAAGTTAAGTGGTAAGGGCGTATATATGAGCAAGGAAAGATTGAAGGACTGCTACATAATGTGTATTCACATTAATTAAATATAGTAAGGGTGTATATATATGAGCATTGAAATATTCAAGAACTACTACATAAATAACTGCATTCACATTGAACACATACGTACATAGGCATATAGAGACGAATTTAACATTCGAAGTTGGAGAAAGTGAAATGTTATCCAATATATAATAAAATAGATTAGCTAGTGAAAAGATAATATTAACTAGAACCCTATATCTAAAAGTTACCCCAACATAATCTAAATGGTACTACAACAATATGATCAACATTCAACATAAACCTAATTTTACCTTTTAATAAATGACATGACAAATATATCAATTATAATCTATAAACAAAGACGTCATGTCATCTTGCTAAAATCTCAAATTGTTAGAAATTTTTTTTTGAACATTTGTTCATCATACATCATTAAAGTTTTGTTTGTTAAATGAAATAAGTTTGCATTTGCTTTTGGTTATATAATTTATATCTTATCATGTCTAAAACTAATATGCCTATGACGTATTTTATCATCTTTTATATATTTTTAATATTGTATTTAAAGTAAAATGTAAATCATATTATATGATAATTTATACAAAAACCCTAACTTCTAGTTAGTTCAATTACTGCACTCCCTTATTTCTCTTTTTCTAATATAAACAAATATGTATGACTTTTAAGAAAAATGAATTTGGGAAAAAAAAAAAAAACAATTTTCATGGGCCATGTATATTTTGTCAGCATATATATCGGGCCTGGGCCTTATACTGTATGGCTATATACTAAATATAGTAAATACTGTTTTGGTGTATGGCTTATTGTTAGTTGGTTTGGGTCGGAAGATGAAAACTACACCGAAAAATGATGAATTCCGCCGGTGATTGTGATTGGTGAAGCAGTAGCAGGCAAAATAGAAACCAGCAATAAAAAGCCCCAATTCAAACCCACTATTGACGATTTCAAACCTCTTCTCCGTGATCTAGTAACCTCTTTCTCAAACTTTTAAGTTTTTCTTCTAAATTTACTCCGTTTTCTGAAATTCTATGAAGTTTAACATGTGTACATTGGTTAATTGATGCTATGTAAGACTCTTAGTTTGATCTTTCTCTTTATATTTTATTTTCGATATATATTATAATTTTTATAGATCTAATCGTTTCCGATAAAGTTCAATTTTCTATAAACCAATGATTCTAAACTAGGTGTTGTTTTGTCATGATGTTTCTCTTAGATATTAAGATCAGATCCAGGAATCGAGAAGGATGATTCTTAATGATATAAAAGCAGAAAGACGTCTCACTGGCCCTTTACTCTTTTTAGGGCCACCATTGTCCCTCTTTTTATCTTTTTGAGTCAGCATTGCATTCTTTTTACATTATTGTTTCAATCAGTGCATTCTTTTCTAAATCATACCTTCACTTCCAATGAGATTTACGAACAATCTAAATGTGAAACTAAAAAATAAAATTCTACATATATTTTTATTAAATAAAATTACTCTGCTTTTGGTTAATAAATAAAATATAATTACTGTAAGTAATTATTGAGTTGTGCAGTCTTTTTTTCTGGCTCTTGAGCTGGGGTTTGATGGTTGCTGGAGGGACGTTGAGGGAAGGGGAGCCGTGAATGTAAGAAGACCTGGTCAGATGAACCATGCAACTGTTCTTTGTTTTTCTTGCATCAGTTAAATGTGTGTGGGTCGATTGGAGTGATAAATATTAATTTACATAAACTATAACTACACAAAAGAGGTTTCGAAAAATAAAATGAAATATTTTTCTCAAATTTTTATTTTTCACAATGGTTGTTTTCATGCGTTTGAATTTGTTATAATTAAGAAATGACTTAAAGAGGGATGAAAAATTGGTGATGGTTGCAAAACGCTTTATTCACTCATAAAACTAAAGGTGGGCACCTGAGCCCGGATGGGAGTACTGCCAATCTGCCATTACATAGTCATATCCATTCATGGATGGTTACTCTATTTGATTCCATCATTTTATTTTTTCAGAATTATATCACACAATTTGATGACCAAAAAATATCACAATATTGGAAAAGATATTTATACTAAATACAAATTACCAAGACTTGTAGTATTATTGTATCCCCCCCACAAAAAGGTCACCAGTATATATGAGGCCATCGGCTTTAAAGATTCATCTTCACATTGGCACTATATAAACCTTTGTAGGGGCATCTTCATAGTTCATATATACATCAAGACAAACAAAAAGCATCAAAATCTGCATTTACATCATGCATCCTTGTGTTTTAATAATTTTCTTACTTTTCTTGCTACGCCTTCAGAATACAACTACGAACCAATTGGTGGTAGACGAAGGAGTAGGAGGGGGATATGATGATGGTGTTGTTAACAAGTGTTTGGATAAGGAGAGAGATGCTCTTCTTCAATTCAAAGGAAACCTTCAAGACCCTAATGGTAGTCTCTCTACGTGGAGACCTGAAGATGATGACTGCTGTGCATGGGAAGGAGTCATATGTGATGACCAAACAGGTCATCATGTCACAGGGCTTCATATTCCCTCTGCTGGTCTTGTAGGTGAAATTAGCCATTCATTGGTTAACTTAACCTACTTGAATCTTCTTGATCTTTCCTCGAACTCTTTTCATGGAACCATTCCTCCAGAGTTTGGAAACCTCACCAACTTGAAAGTGCTTAACCTTCGAGATGTTGGAAGCTGTAGAGTTGAAAATCTAGACTGGTTGTCTCATTTGTCCCTCTTGGAGGCACTAGAAATTGAAGGGATTTCCCTTGCCAAAGCAAACCAGTGGGTAAATGTGATTTTGAATCTCCCAAAACTATCAGATTTAAGGTTAGATGGATGTGAGCTGTCACAGGTCATGTATCCATATTCTTCTTCATTTCTCAACTCTTCTTCATCTATTTCTTTCCTTTCTCTCAGAAACAACAATCTCACCTCATCCATGTATCATTGGATGTTCTCATTAACCAGCAATAGCCTTCATATTCTTGATCTCTCTAGCAACATGTTAGATGGGATACCCAAATATCTTGGTAACCTCTGTAGTTTGGAAAGTTTTCATTTTAATAACAACCGTGCTGTTGTCAAATTTCCTGATTTTCTGAACAACTTGTCTGGATGCACATCACTTACATTGCAACAGTTGTCTGCTGAAACAAGCCAATTTACAGGGTCATTCCCTGATGACATTCAAAACTTTTCATCCCTAGAAGGTCTGTACCTATCAAATAATCACATAAATGGAACCATAAGCGAGAGATTTTGGGAACTACCCCTTCAGGCGTTTGATGTTTCTCAAAATCATCTTAGTGGTGCTATCTCTGAAAACATTGGAAAGTCCAAGGCTTCTATTATAAATCTTTCAAAAAACCCACTCCAAGGAGTTCCTTCCACAGATCACATGTCAAACCAGTCTTCTGTAACGTATATAGATCTGAACTCTTGTAAGCTAGGGCCTCACTTCCCCAAATGGATTCAAATGCTGAAAAAACTTAACGAGCTTGATATTTCCAATACTAGTATTTCAGACACCGTTCCTCCAGAATTTTGGAACATTCATTTAAGCTCTTTGAATCTCTCTTCCAACAACATCAGTGGGGAAGTACCAGATTTATCATCGAGTTTTTTTGGCGCTCAAATGATAGATTTGAGTTCCAACAGCTTTATCGGTCCAATACCACATCTTCCTTCCGGTTTGCAATTGTTAAATCTTTCCAGAAACAAATTCTCTGGAGGTATCTCCTTCTTATGTCAAATGGTCGATGGGTTGTTAAAATTTCTTGACCTCTCCCATAACACTCTAACAGGACAACTTCCAGACTGTTTGTGGCATTTCCAACATCTAACAGTTCTTAATCTAGGACACAACAGTCTATCTGGAAGGCTTCCTCCCTCTATTGGGTCTTTGATAGAACTCGAAGCGTTATACTTATACAAGAACAACTTCTTTGGAGAACTGCCTTTGTCTCTAAAGAATTGCACGAGCTTAACCTCGTTGAATTTGGGGGCTAACAAGTTTTCGGGTAATGTGCCTGTTTGGTTTGGTGAAAACCTATCAGAGTTGTATGTTCTTATCCTAAGATCAAACAATTTCTTCGGAACCATCCCTTCAGAATTATGTCAGTTAGCAAATCTTCAAATTTTAGACTTTTCAAGGAACAATCTCCATGGAAGCATCCCTTCATGCTTGAATAATCTTACAAAAATGGCTCAAGTAGGATTCTTACCTCCACCAAACGTACATCCATATACATCTCAGTGGCATTGGGATCTCATTGATGAGGTGTATATCGACCATGCAATGATCGAGTGGCAAGGAGATGAGCGTGAATTTTTTAGGAATCTGGGATTGTTGAAGAGCATTGACCTGTCAAGCAACAATTTAACAGGACATATCCCACATGAACTCACCAACCTTCATGAACTGCTTGCCCTCAACTTGTCAAAGAACGCTCTGATCGGAGAGATTCCACAGCAACTTGGTGAGATGAAAAATCTTTTAGCTTTGGATTTATCTAGAAATAGTTTATCAGGAGGGATACCATCAAGCATGTCTCAGATGACTTCATTGTGTTACCTAGACGTGTCATATAATAAATTGTCAGGGCGAATCCCATCAAGCACTCAACTCCAGTCCTTTGAACCATCAAGATACGATGGAAACACAGAACTATGTGGACTTCCCCTTCCTAAAAAATGTCCAGGAGATGAAGAATCACAAGTTGGTAAAAGCGAGGGTGATGAGGAAGACATAGATGAAGATTGGGGATGGTTCTGTATTGGTGGGGGCACTGGTTTTGTGACAGGATTTTGGATAGCATGTGGCGCTCTACTTCTCAACCGTCGTGGGAGACGTGCATTTTTTAACTTTTATGACAGCTTCAGAGACTGGGTTTATGTGAAGGTGATGGTGTTCATTGCAAAATTGCGGAGGATTGCAAATATGTAGTTGTCTATATTTGATTCTTCTTTCCTGTTTTGAATGTTGCTTTATAACCCTCCTACTTTTCTTATTTAGGACTAGAGGTATAGTAATGTAAGACCATGTTTCACTTGTAATTGGCAGGGTTTTTAAGTCCCCATTATCAATAAATATGCCACCAACTCCATGGGTGGCAATTTCAGGTTGTGTGGAATGAAACATTTTGAAAAGTTCATTATTTCAGTATGTAGTTATTATTTTATTAATTTATTTTATCGTTTAACCGATTCTCAATGTAAGTTATTCGCAAAATTAGCACTCGAAAGATAATCAATCCTTATATTCAGGTGTCTTTTTATAGGTTATTTACAACAAAATTGGAGAATTTCCTTTGACACATTATGTAGACTAAGGATAAGATTCAATCTATGAGCTCTAAATTTGGGGGTTTCAACTGAGATTTCTGTTTGCGCAAACTGCAAACTACAATAACCTGACTCTAAATTAGATTTATATAAACACAGTTCAAAAGTTGAGTGATAACGTGTTTGTAGTGCCCTCTGTTTGTTCTATCTTACAAAAACCCTTTTATAATTATAGTAGGCTGTCTTAGACCTATTTATCGATTTGGATCAATTGCAATAGTCATTAGCGTAGATATTGTTTGTGACTTCTATTTTCTGATTATGAATAAATCAGAAAATCAACTCCTATCTTTTTTTTTTTTGCTTTTTTGCAGATTTTCAAATATATTGTATGCGATTCTTGAGCTTGTGGCCTTGGCTGCAACTTTCATTTCGAAAGGTAATAAATTTAAGTTGTACGTGCAATCTTATTTCTTTGAGTACAACCGATTGGTTGACAATTCATGCTTTGTATTATATCAGTCTGTTTAATACAATGCAATTCATAGACTAATGGAATTATGTTATTATTTCGTCGAAGCCCTTCTTTATTGAAAATGATGTTATCTTTTTTCTTTTAATCTCAGTTGATTAGTGATCAGGTGCTCTGCTAGGCAAATGTGAGGCTTGTATACTTCAACATACCAATGGAATCAGGTTCCTTGGTTTCTCTTTAATTAAAAATTGCTTTATTTGCATTTATTTATAAAAAAATTAACATGGTCCTGTGGTGTGCATTTTTCCGGGTTTTCATCCAAACCCGAAAAAAAAAGGCCCCGTTAGAATTTGATATCGAATTATTATGATAGCCTAGAGCGTAGTTGTTGGTTCCTTTTGCAATAGTATTTGTATTATAAATTAAAAACGCCCCACCCATCTTTTAAAATTATAATTAATTTGTCACAAAACTGCAAAATGATCCTGTGGTATGCATTTTTTCCTGATTTTCATCCAAACCTCGAATTTTTTGACTTCATAGTCCTCTTAGACATATTTTTATGTGGAAATGGCCCCTCTGAAAATTAAAATGACTATTATACCCTTCTATTCTTATTTTTACATTTTTTAATATCTATTTTAATATTTTAATAGTTAAAACAATAGAAGGGGGCCCACATACATCCTCTCTCTCTCTCTCTCTCTCTCTCTCTCTCTCTCCAAAATCAATCAATCAATCCACCCCCCAAAACAGAAATTTTGAATCTTCCCAACTATGGATTTGGCGTAAGGATCCGATTCATATGATCGTGGAGAACCTGCAGGTCCATTGTAGCGTGGTGGTGCATTTGAGCTACTCAAACCCAATTGCGTCGTGTTCTTGTCTACTAAAACAAGCTAGGGGGAGCCTCGAAGCACCCATCAGTTGGTTCACGACAGCGTACGAGGAGAACGGCGGCCATCAGAGCAAACTCGTTTGGTGTGAGAGCTGTGAGGATAAATATGATGGAGGTGAAAGATAGTCAAGCCAAGGCTAGAGGTATTCCATATGATTTCTTATGTGCGTGAGAGTGTGTGTGCTCATTTGATTTCATGTGTGTGTGTGTGTGTGTTTGAATCTGAAACCCTAAACATGTATGGGTGTATGGGTGTGTGAAGTTGATTATGGAAGACAAACATATAGGTGTGCATTTCAAGAACATGTTTATGCCAAGGTATGGGTGGATCTGAAATCTCTCTCTTCTCTTTTCTCTCTTTAGGAACAAAATCAAAATTAAACAAGTGAGTTTGTGAATGAAGGGGTTGTTTTAGGTTCTTCAGATCTGGATATGATTTTTGTTCTTGGGTGTTCATCAGATCTAGATATGATCTTTGGTGATAAGGGGAAGAACATGAAGAATACAAACTGATGATGGTGTTTAGTGGTAGCTTCAATGGGGAGAGAGAGAGAGAGTAAAAACAAATTATATAACTAACCAAATGCTTAACTTTAAAATATAATAAATGATCAAAATTGCAACTTATAAGGTACCAATAATTTAACTTTGGAATTATGAAGAATAAAAATGATTAAACCAAAATTGGTTTAAGGATAAAAATGTTTAAGAAGTGAAATTTAGGAGGTGCAAATGGAAAATAAAATGAAGAGTGTCCATGTGATTTCTAATTAATATATATACGAAATCTACATAAATTTAAGCACGAAAATGTTAAAAAAAATAATAAAAAAAATAAAAAAAATCAAAATGTAGACAAATTCGAATTTAAACGACACGTAAATTAAAAAAACAAGTAAATTTTTGAAAAAGAAATTCCCATTGAAACATAGATCATCATGAATTTATATCAAAACATATATAAAAATAAACATATAAAAATAGTTTTTCCTAAGTTAAGGAACCAACATTATTAAAAAATCAAATTATATAAAGTTTAAGGGTAAAAACGAAAGTTTAGAAAATAAATAAACGAAAATAACATTTTATAAAGATCAAAATGAAATCATCAAAGTGACATTTTAAAAAAGTAAAGGGTGGAAAAGCACAAAAAATTACATGCATCACAAACTCAATCCCTGAATGACCAAATTACCCTCACTGACCCAAACTAATAAAACTAATGGTATTAGCAAAAAAATCATTCATGCAAGTTTTGAAACACCAAAGGGACTATATTTGTCAAAAAAAAATCAAGAATGACTAAATTTGTGTGGACTTCCCCTTACCACAAAATGTCTTGGAGATGAAGATCCAAAAGTACCACCTCTTCCTGTTGGTGAGAGTGACACAGATGAAGATTGGGGATGGTTCTGTATTGGTGGGGGCACTGGTTTTGTGACAGGATTTTGGATAGCATGTGGCGCTCTACTTCTCAACCGTCGTGGTAGGCATGCATTTTTTCAGTTTTATGATAACTTCAAAGATTGGGTTTATGTGAAGGTGGTGGTGTTCATTGCAATTTTGAAAAGGGTTAGACATACATAGTTTCTCATCTGATTTTTATTTTTAACTTATTTTCTAATATGTGTATCATCTTGTATAGACCATTACTATTCTTTTTAAGGCTAGGATCATAGTATTGTAATTACTTGAATTAGTCTATCTTTAATTCTATTTTATTAGTTATTAATTTAGAAAAAAAAATGATAAAGAAAAGTTTCATTATTATTGGGTTTTGTGCTGTTTTGTTTAACAAATATTGGGCCTATAAACATTGGGCCACACACCAGTAGACAACAAAAATATGTCGATGGTTACTGTCTAGTGTCCACTATGGCTGGCATCGCCTCTTATGTCTTATTGTTTAATCATTTTGTAAAATTAAACTGTGATTTCTGAAATGCATGAAAAATAATTTGTGCTTGTACATTGTTTATTTGATGCTACGCGAGACTCATAGTTTGATTTTTCTCCTTCTTTTTGTTGTCCACATTATAATTTCTCTAGGTCCCATCGTTTCCGATAATGTTCAGTTAGCTATAAGAGACTGAATCGAATCTAGTCGTTTTCTTTTGATGCTTTTCTTAGATTTTAAGTTCGATCCGATGATAGAGAAGCTACCGGATTGAGAGAACTGTTAGTCAGTTCACACAATAACAGTTTTTGGTAACAGGAAACTTTCCTTATGGAATCGTTATCATTCCAATCACATAATATAATAAGTTATGATAATCTGTGGGTGGCTATTTTAAAACATTTTGTGTATGCAAAGTTAATTTGTTTAACATAGTGGCAAAGCTAGGGAGGGTCTAGAATGAAGTATCTCAACAAAATTGGGTTCAAAACGTTCTTGCAAGAATATGGCGTATATGCAAGGAACACAAAGGGAAAGGCATTGATCGTGGGTGTGTATGTAGACGATCTCATTGTTACAGGTGTGTAACAACAAAATAACACGATTCAAAGAACAAATAAACAGGAAATCTGAGATGAATGATCTGGGAAAACTCTCAAAATTGGTTAACTCTATACTGACCCGACCTGAGTTGCGATGGTAAGTAGATTCATGGAAAGACCCACACTTCAACATATGAAATCCATGAATACATCTTGAGGTATGTGAAAGGGACTATAGAGAGATGGTAATGGTGTTGTTAACAAGTGTTTGGATAACGATAGAGAGATGCTCACCTTCAATTCAAAGTTTCAAACTTGCAAATTTCCAATTTGCAAATCATAATGCAAAACAGAAGTTTTTGGCCCAACTCAACCCACTCACTTAAAAATTGCAAGTGCGAGCCCAAATGAATTTATCTCAATTCTCAAATGGGGTATCAACGAAAGTGTTCAAAGTTTTGGCACCAAAACGCTTCATACATATCACTGTATCAGTGTAAATTCAAGTATTCAACCAAAAGATTCGAGGAAAGGATCATAGGAATGAGTTCAAATCATCCATTGATTAAGGTAAGTGGAAAACTATCGATTCCGTGTATGTTCATCCATCAAACTTCCTCGGAAAATGATCAGTAAATCCTCGATAAACCCTAATATGATATAGCGGAATATAAATAGAGTATAACCACAAGCTTTCCTGCAAACCAAAGTTTAGACAGATAGCAGATTGTTGAAGTTGGCGCGCTTTCCAACTTTCAAAGACACAACTTTCATGGATGTGCTTAGTTTATGTGTTAGTGTACATGTAGGTGAAATGGGAGCTCATTATTTATATGCATAGAATTTCATA